CTGCTATAGTTAGAATTATTTGTAAATTCAGTACCAACGATAGACAAAAATTTTAAATCATAAGTAGGACACATGACTTTTAGGAAGTACTATTCTTGTTCTTGAATTCTGAATGCACTCTTCATCTTTTATATCATTGACTCTAAGGCCATTTGTATTGCGTAAACAAGGAATAGTATTATTTTCTACCCTTTTCCCAAAAGGTTAAAATGACTCACCCAAAGTTACTCAGTGATCTCACATGTAGAATCCAATGAGACAATCTTGAATTCTTGATTCAAAATCTGCCAGGGTCTCCATTTACATAAAAATGTCAGTCTAGAAGGATGACCCTAAGTGTTAATTTTATGTTATAATAGTAATTTTTACATTTAAAATGTTTTCTGGATTTGGCTTGGCCCTCTGGTTACCCACAGAATACAGGGAGAAGGCTGTGTAAATTCCCTTCTCAACAGTTAAAGCAGTCCTTGTCACCAAAACTCTAATATGTGAGATCACATGTCAGTGTCTGTGCCATAGTCAGGTCCTGGCTTCTCAGGATCTACTCATTACAAGTGAATTTATGTTCCTTGAAGCATATGGCCTTGATATATGATCCCAGAGCAAAAGAGCAAGGTATTTTAAGCTGGCCACAATTTTATTGACTCTTACAGGCTTGCTTTGTAGTCATTCCAATAAACTAGATGAGAAATTTCTGATGCTCCAAGCTATCCAGTCCCTAGGACTCCATTTCATGATTCAGAGTCCAACTAAACAACTTAAGAGTGCTTTTGTGTGACACTGTGACCACAGGGATAAATAATTGCTTAGTAATTCTCTTTGAGGCAGAAAATTCTAAACGTGGAGGAACCATTTCCCCTTAATGGGAGCCAAATTGCAGAGCACAGAGAAACGCTACAGACATGAAGACAGAAATCAACACTTGCAAAAGATGAGGAGATGATCACATCTATCGGAGACCAGGGTTTCATTTGGAGCAGAGTAGAAATTCAGAATGGGATGAATTAGACTTGGGCCGGGGACTGGTACCGGGCGTGACCTGTAGGAACTGGGCTGCACAGCAGGAGGTGAGTGGCGGATGAGCTAGCAAAGCTTCATCTGTATTTGCAGCCGCTCCCCAGCGCTAGCATCACCGCTTCAGCTCTACCTCAGATCATCAGGCATTAAAGTCTCAACGGAGCACTGGTCCCTGGTGCCAAAAATACTGGGAACTGCTGCTATAGTTAGAATTATTTGTAAATTCAGTACCAACGATTGACAAAAATTTTAAATCATAAGTAGGACACATGACTTTTAGGAAGTACTATTCTTGTTCTTGAATTCTGAATGCACTCTTCATCTTTTATATCATTGACTCTAAGGCCATTTGTATTGCGTAAACAAGGAATAGTATTATTTTCTACCCTTTTCCCAAAAGGTTAAAATGACTCACCCAAAGTTACTCAGTGATCTCACATGTAGAATCCAATGAGACAATCTTGAATTCTTGATTCAAAATCTGCCAGGGTCTCCATTTACATAAAAATGTCAGTCTAGAAGGATGACCCTAAGTGTTAATTTTATGTTATAATAGTAATTTTTACATTTAAAATGTTTTCTGGATTTGGCTTGGCCCTCTGGTTACCCACAGAATACAGGGAGAAGGCTGTGTAAATTCCCTTCTCAACAGTTAAAGCAGTCCTTGTCACCAAAACTCTAATATGTGAGATCACATGTCAGTGTCTGTGCCATAGTCAGGTCCTGGCTTCTCAGGATCTACTCATTACAAGTGAATTTATGTTCCTTGAAGCATATGGCCTTGATATATGATCCCAGAGCAAAAGAGCAAGGTATTTTAAGCTGGCCACAATTTTATTGACTCTTACAGGCTTGCTTTGTAGTCATTCCAATAAACTAGATGAGAAATTTCTGATGCTCCAAGCTATCCAGTCCCTAGGACTCCATTTCATGATTCAGAGTCCAACTAAACAACTTAAGAGTGCTTTTGTGTGACACTGTGACCACAGGGATAAATAATTGCTTAGTAATTCTCTTTGAGGCAGAAAATTCTAAACGTGGAGGAACCATTTCCCCTTAATGGGAGCCAGAAATCCTGTAAGTGCTTGAAATGGCATTCACAAGTCTGAATGGTAAACAGATAAAAACAGGAGCGCACCAGTTGCACAAATGACTTGCTTGTCACAAACTTGTCATTGCAGTAATCTAACATTTCTTTTGCAGAGCTCGATGGAAAGTATGGAACAAACAGACCCTGCTGACGTTTTGGCTCTGCTAAGCCTTCCTCCGAGCTAAAGCATCTGCAGCATCTTCCTGTTCTAGACCCTTTATCTGCTGAAGTTAGCTGATACTGTACATGTCAAAGAAATGTTTGACTATTGCATTAACAAGTTGATGACAAGCAAGTTATTCCTGCAGCTGAAATACTGCTGCTTTTAGCAGACTGCCATTTTGACCTTGATCTTATTACACGGAAGAACCCTAACAGAGTGGAACATGAGGGAGATACCAGTATTGTGGCCCCAGGCCTGTACAGATAAACAAGGATCGCCTGTCTAGGGCTTAGGAGCAGTGGTATAGTGGACACACCAGGCAGTTCCATCAGGGTTATGGATGGGATTTCCTTGTAAAATGTAAATGTTGCAAACATATTAGACGGTCCCAGGAATTCCTCTTGATGGGATAAAGAGAGCTGCACAGAAATTCATTTCCTCTGGCACCTCCTCTACCTCCCACGCACGTGCCCACACCCAGGCCTGTATATACTTTATAAAATGTTACTAGCTGAAAAAGTTAACGAAAATGGTATACACATCGTTTTTGCCAGTTCTTAGAGTTCTTTCTTTCAGTAGCCTCTTCCTACCTCCTCCCTCAGTCAGTATAACATCTGGAACTATCCAAACCTAATCAGAACCATGCTCTTATTCCCTGAAAAGTGAGGTATGTCCATTAGCCTCCCCACAGAAACCTTCGAGAGCCTTCTTTAAGACTTCACCAATTCATCTGCAACTTCAGCTGCCAGCAGGGAGTGCTCATACACTGTGCAACTTTCGACTCTTGCCTTTCTGTTTGAGGAGCCTTCCTCCCCTGGGAGACCCACCCTTGGTGTCCCCAGAGTGTACAGTCAGGTGGGTCTCAGGCTTATCAGCATACAGAGCCAAGCTGGAGCCTGTAACGGGAGCCTTGCCTGTTCTTGAGTATTTTTGCCTCTGCTGGTGCCATAGGCATATCAGCACTTGGAACAATGGAGCATTCGCCCTGAGTCTTTGGCCTTTTCAAAAGCTGAGCTTCTCTTATTCAACAAGGTGTCAGATGCCCTGTATTCTTTTTAGACCCTTCATTAAGGGTGCATTGATAGTGTCTTATCTGGTTTAGATATTGACGTGAAACACTCGCATTCTCAGACATTTTCTGGCTGTTGCCCCAGGTGCTTTCATTTTTTAAAGTCTTATGTAAAAATGATTATCATTGTTCAGCCATGAGAACCCAAATTTCTTGCCAAAGTTGTGATGGGGCTTAACTTTCTTTTATATTTGGCACATTGACCACAGTACTGTCTCCCAGATGAAATGTTTTACTCCCATCCCAAATATCTCATGTTGTAATCTATACCTCAGCTTTGTTACTTCAGGAGGCAGGTGGGAAGGGTGTGAGAAGAGGGTCCTGTGTTTTACCCAGTTGAGTATATTGTCCCTGGGGAAGGAAATGAAAGTAGTTTGTGGTGGCACTTATATTTTCTGTAAAAGAAAACATGAAAACAAACTATTTGAATTTAAAATGGACTTTTAGTGACTTTTCTTTTCTTTTGAAAGTTCCTAATAGGATTTCAGTAATGATGTTGTGTTCTCTTTCCTAATAGAACTTAAATGGCAAAGAAATGATATGCTATTTTCGATTCTGGAAAAAAAATAAAAATCATTTTTATGGGAACTCTCTTCTTAAATACACATTAGGGAATTGATAATGGCAACAACAAAAAATTTTCTCTCTTCCCATTTAGAGGGATAGCTGATTAGTATATATGTTGTATGTGTCTTTAATATATATTTACTTATTTGTTTATTTGTCTATTTATTTTAAGAAAGCAAGAAAGGAAGGAAGAAAAGAAAACTTATGTTAGACTAATTTCATTAGATTCATAGAATTTTAAGGCTGGAAAGGAGCGTCACTATGGGGCTCTGATGCTGTGTCACAGCTGCCCTTAGCGATGTGGTTATTTAGACCCAAGGATGTTTAATAACATGAACAAAGATGTACAACAGGATCATGGTAGAGCTGGGCCTGAACCAAGGCCCTACTTTCAAATCCGGCAATGTGCTCTCTCAGCAATTACATTAAATTTTTTTAAACTTTCTTTTAAACAAAGATAGTCTTATTTGAATAATTTAATGTGCTTAAACCTAATAGGGTACTTGCTTTCGGAAGAACTGGGGCCACGTGCTGGCTATGCCAACTTAAGGGTATATGTTTGAACAGTTTGGAGACATGTCTTCCTAAGTGTTTTATCTGAGTCATGTTAGGAACTGTTATAATTTCAGTCCATTTTTTTTTTTTTTCTCAGAAAAGTTTTCAAAGAAACACTCTATTGCCATTTAGGTGCCTGAAAATGTATATATATTTTTAATGGATCTGTTCTTTAATAAGTGTTCATTTAAATAGGTCATATTCTAACATTCTTAGAGATAAAAGATCTTTTATTAGATTAAAAGAAATCAGTTTTTTGTTCCCACTTTTAGCCAGGTTTCAGTTGGTCTTTGTAATTGTCAGTTTCAACACAACACTGGTTAAGTCGAAACATCAGTGTTTTCGTTTGTTTGGGCTCTTTTAGTCTTAGTTTAACACAACAGGATAAATAAAAAACGCGTTTACCTTTTTGCACCTATGATAATTACATACTCTATTTTTCATTTATGCAAAACTTATTTTTGAGGGTTTTCTTTTTGTTTCATTTCTCCATTTTTGCATTTTCCAAACATCTGTACCATGGCTGGTGGCAAGAGTAGCAGTGACTGGCACTTTTCCTCCACGTTTTGAGAGAAAGAGAATTGGCTGGAATAAAACCTTGCTTTCCGTATGGTCGACTCGAAATACTGCATTGAAAAGGTATCGTCTCTTTTTCTTTTCTGAAACCAGAGGTGAAGCCAGTGAACAAATAGCTATATTGATGCCAGACCACCTGTTGATTCACATCAGAAAAGTCCTTGGCAATGCATTCCCCACTTCATCAGTCGAAAAATATCAGTGGATGGATGTTCTTTGTGTGTTGGTAGCATCATATCAACAATATATGCTTCTGGCTACTCACTTAAGAAAGCCTACATCCTATACATAGTCAAGAAATGAAAGTTTTGCTTTCGATTCAACAAAATGATCACTTTATAAGTATGTTTGGCTATGAAGTACTTATTGATTCCTGGAATATTGGGATCTGTTGTCAGGGATAGTGAAGAGAAGATGACACTAAGTACTTTCTTTTACCTTAATTAATTCTAGTTAGCAAAAGCAATAGTCTTTGTCTAATCAATTATTTTAATGTAAAATAGATCAAGCATATGAAAGTATAAAGAATAATGTGAACATACAAGGATTCGGCACCTAGATTAAACAAATTTTAATTAATTTGAAATATTTTTTGAACCTCTTCTTATCTTTTAGTTTTCCATTATAAGTCACATACAGTGAAGTACACAAATTAAATGTATAGCTTGATGAGCTTTTATGTAAGTACATATCCATATAGCAACATCCAGTCCAAGGTATAAAACATTTATCATACCTAGGAAGAGTCCTGCATGTCCCCTTGGAGGTGATATTATCCAAAGTTTTACCAAAAGGTTGAAAACAAGCAAAACTATTCTGATGCCATCGTCACGAATTAATTTTACATAAACTGTATATTATGGATGACATAAAATGCATCCTACTGTACATATCGCTAACATTTATTTGTTGAGTCTCTCATTGTTAGAGATTATTTACAGTGTTTCCCAGTCACAACCAATACTGCAATTAACACTTCTATCCATGTTTAAACACAGAGAAAGAATTGCTTAAGTGAAAGAAATAATGCAGTTTTAACTTTACTAAGGACTGTAAAATTTCTCTCCCAAGTGGTAGTACCAATTTATATTCTCATGAGCAATCTGTGAGAACCTCCTCGTATGTTTCACAACATTTGCAATGGGCAGGCTTTTTAAAGTTTTTGTTAGTCTGATGGCTATTAAAATAATATCCTATTTCAAAATTTTTTTCACCTGCAAACCGTTGGTATTTCCTCGTTTCTGTTGCCTATTTGTATATTTGCCTATCTTTCTATTGAGTTATTTGTTTTGCTTTTGTTGTTATTTTGGATGGCTTTTGGTTTGGGTTTTTATCACTGTTTTAATATTCTGGATTCCTATCCTTTAGGAAATACAGATTGCAAATATCTTTTCCCAATTTGTAGTTTCTCTTTTAACTGTCTCTATACTAGGATTTATTTTTTAAAATCTTCTAATTTTATTGCAGTTAAGTTTATTGATATTTTCCTTTATCATTTGTGCTTTTATATCATTTAAGAAATCCTTCCATATGACAAAGTCATTATGAAACCTTCCTATATTTTGTTCTAACAGTTTTAAAGTTTACTTTTTTAGATCTCTAACCTTGGTATTTGTTTTCGTATACAGTACCTTACATGCAACCTGTTTTATTTTTTCCATGTGGATAATCTTATTACTCCAGCACCATTTAACAAATTAGTCACCCTTACCACTAACTTGTAATGCCATCTTTCGCCTACATCAAATCTGTTTTCAGGATCTTTATTTCATCCAATGGACTGTTACTCTATTCTTACGCTAATACTGTAGTGCCTTCATTACCATAGCTTTATAATATTCTTGTTATTTGGTAAGGTCAATCTCTCTACATTGTTTTCTTTAAATTTCTCTTGACTCTTCTTGGCCTTTTGCTATTCGGTAAGAATTTTAGAGTTATTTAGTCAAGTTTTGCAAAAACCCTGCTGAATTTATTTGTAATTACAGTAACTTTAGAGAATAATCTGGGGGGAGAATTGACATTTTTATAACATTCTGTCTTTCTGCCCATTAGCAGACTATATATATATATATATCCCTCTGCTTAATCAGATCTTCCTTCATGGTCCTTGATAATGTTTTATAATTTTCACCATAAAGGTCTTGCTTGAACCTATTTTGTTAGATTTCTTCTCATATAACTTAGATTTTTGTGCTATTATGTATAGAATCTGTTTTTATTTCATTGTTTATATGTCATTATTGGTGAATATTCAGCAACTTTGCTGAACTGTCTTATTCGTTCTCATGGCTAAACTGGAAATTCTCTTGAGGTTTTCTACATAAACATGTATACCATCAGTAAATAATGACAGCTTTTCTCTTAAATTTCAGTTTTTAAATGTTCAATCTCTTTTTCTTGTCCTATTGCATTACTAAGAACTCTATATAGTGTTAACTAGAAACATTGATATTAAGAAAATCTGTTCTATTTCTTCAATAGAAATGTTTTAGAAATGTGATATTTGCTTAGGATTTTGATAAGTCAAAATTATTATGTTAAAGAAGTTCCCACCATCAATTTATACTTTGCCTATGCATCTTTAATCAGAAATACTAGCTGAATTTTATCTAGTATATTTTCTGCATTAATAATATGATAGTTTCCTAATATGTTAATATTTTACATGACAATTAGTACATTTCCTAATATTAAACATGTCTTACATTACTAGAAAAAAACTTGATCCTGGTGATTTTTTTAACCCACTGTGCAGTTTAATTTACTGATACTTTATGTAGTGTGTTTACTTGTGGATGTTAGTCTTTAATTTTTCTTTCTTACCCTGTTACAGTAGAGTTTTGGTGTCAAGGTAATATTAGTCTCATAAAATACGTTGAGCAGCATTTCTTTCTCCTTTTTTTTTTCTATTTCCAAAGCTGTTTTTATATTATAGGGATTACCTATTCTGAAGATTTGGTTAAACTTGGCTCGAAAATCATCCGTACATGGTATTTTCTGTCAGTAGGGCATAGGTACTGTAGGGTGAACTTTTCATTATCAGTTCAATTTCTTCCATGTTTATTGATTTATTCAAGTGTTCTGTCTCTTCTTAACTCAACTTTGTGAAGTTATTTTTTTTTTTAGAAAAAATGTGCAATTAACAGTTATTCTGCACTTTCAAATTTATTTGATAAAATTGTTCATAATAGTCTTATGATTTTTCATTTTATCTTTAAGTATGTCCCCTCTTATTCATAATATTATTTACGGAGCCTTTTCTCTTCTTTTATTAGTTGTTAGACATTCTGTTTTATTTGCTTTTTTCAAAAACTGGCTTTTTATTTCGCTTATCTACTTTATGGCATCTTTATACTCTATACCATTACTTTACACTTTTTTATCAACATTATTTTCTTTATTCTACTTTCTTATAGTTTAGACTATTTTTTGTTTTCTAAATTCCTGAATTGAATTATTCCTAATTTAATTTCAATTCTCTTTATTATTTTTTGATATGAATTTTAGTTTCTAAATTCTCTTTCAGGTTTCTTATTGGCTACATAACATGTCTTGATATGTAGTTTTGTTCAATTTTAAATATTTTGTAATATGTTTTGCCTAATTTTTACTCCTTGAGTTATCTAGAAGTGTGTTTTTACTTTCTAAATATATATTTACTCTATTTCTATTACTGATTCCGAATTTAATTGCACTATAAGAAGAAGATGTGTTTTACATGGTTTTAATTGAAAAACATTTTTTGAAATGATTTTTGTGATCTGGTACATGGATTTTACTGCTGAGCTTGAAATCTATAGGTGGCTTGTCTGTTTCTTTAGTGCTCATGCTAAAATATTGAGATATTTACATAACTACATTTTTTTTAATCCACTTTTTAGTATTTCTGGTTTTCTCCTTAATGTAAAAAAAAAAAAAAAAAAAGTGCCTAGCGTATTTTATCTACTCCTAAGTATTAATCTTGTTATGTAATTGTTGAATGAAGTTTTAGTTTCACCTATTTGTTTTAAATAAGTACGAAAGCGGTTATCATTGATTTTCATAGTCAATGCTTCATTATCTTTACTCATATATTTTAGTTATTACTGTGCCCACCATTATTCTTGGATTCTATGACTTCCTTCCTTCTTGTCAAATTACATCTTTCAGTAATTCTTCAGGGGGGAGCCTGGGTAGTACATTCTTTTTGTATATCTAAAAATATCTTTATTTTATCTTTAATCGTAAATAACAATTTTTCTGGGTATTTTTGCTCAGCATTTGAAGATAATATTCAATTATATCTTAGACTATTGTTGTGTTAATTGTCATTTCTTAAGAGAAATCTGCTATCAGTCTATTTTCCATCTCTTTGTAAGTAGCCTTTTTCCTCTTGTAACTTTTAAAAGTTTTTCTATATCCTTGATGACTTACTGATTTTCTGAAATGTATCTAGGTGGGGACTTATTTTTGAATTACCAGTTATGAACTCAGGATATAGTTTCTAATCTCAGGACTCTAATTCTGGAAAATTCTCAGCTTTATTATCTTTTTCCTTATTATTTTCTTTGTCAGTACCTTCACTGGGATTCTTATATATATTGGTGTTTCCTAGTCAATTTACTACATCTCAACTGCTCTTTCATTTTCTGAAAACATATTTTATTTTCTGTGATTTTCTTTTTCTGAGCGAATATGACTTTCTAACTTTCTAACTCAATCATCTCCTTGAAGTTGCCCCATCTTAAGTTATCCCATCTTTTGCATTTTTATGTCAATGAACATATTTTTCATTTTTCAGAAAATGATCAGTTCTATTCACCTATTCTTATCTTATTGTTGTATGTTTTATTTATTAATTTCTTGTTCTTTTACAGGTATAATTCTTTTATTTATCTCTGAGCTTTGTAAACATACTCATGTTAAGGTCATTGTCATGCAATTTTATAAAATCAAATTCATCTGGTCTGAATGTTCCAATGGTCAATTTTATCAGCTGTTTTTCTTAATGTTAGATTTCTTGCTGTTTTAGAATTTTGTTTTGCAAGTTAATGTTTGTCATAGGCTTTTTTTGTTTTGTTTCT